GTCTTCTAGTGGCTGTGGCATGAGAAATCTGAATCATTCCCTTACGAAACTTGCAGAGGCGGAGAGTGTGAGTAGGAGCTGTCCATGAGCTAGGAGCAGGAGAAACTACTTTTGCTAGGTATTCCGATTAATTGCTTTGTCATTTTGCCTCCACATTTCCCCGATTTCCTGTGAGCTTCTCCTCCTGTCCATACGGTAATCTCTCTACTGTACGACAGAGAGTCGCGTGGTTATGACGCGATCGTTAGCCTACTTTTACAAAAAACTGCTTCTATGGGGCCATAACATAAGCTACAAGGTAATAGAGCATTTTATACATTGTCGTGTTTCTTTAGAAATAAATAAAGGACAAATGGAGTCCTTAAACGCCTCAGATGTAAAGTTAATCGCTGTCAAAGTGACGCCAAAATGAATGGGACTCAATGGAAATGCTAACGCAAGTGAAGTTCTGCTACAAGATGGCAGCTCCCGCGAGGCTTCAACTTCCGGTCGATGGATTACCCCCTTGATTTGCGTGCTGGTCTGAAAACGAGGTGTGTTCAGGCGCAATGTTGGTGCGTTGCTATTTGAGGCAACTGACATAGACTGGAAACTGATCTGCTCGTGTGCGAGGTTAAAGTGTGCGAATAGACCATCTACGGGACAAGGTGTACGCACATTGAGGACCCGCCTAAGCGCATTAAAGGGGCCATGAACTGGCTTTTTAAATTTTATTATATTGTTGTCTGAGGTCAATTTATGATGTTCGCTTGGTTTTTAAATTCAAAAACGTCAAAATTAATAAGTAATAGGCTATTTTCTACCCTAGTTTTGAGCCTAGCTTAAAAACGCTCGGTTTTTATGGGCGTCTCGACTGAAGACTTAGAAGCAAACGCCCACTGCTGTGAGTGGATAACAGTTTTGCATATTTTAATGTAAATGAGTGGCTTCTTCCACAACCAGGCACTCCACAATATTCTGTATTGCTCAGTAGCTCGATCCGGTTTGTCATCACGAGGTAGGCTTATGTTATTTAGCTATGCGTGTAAAGCCCGGAACACACCAAACCTACGGTCGGCCGTCGGGCAGTTTTTGTGCGTCGGCCGACTACGTTTCCTCGGTGTGTTCCACACGGTTCCTTGCCGTTGGCTGAAAATAGTCCTCGTTGGCTTTGTTTCGTCCGATTCGACATGTTGAATTGGCGTCGGGCCGTCGGGTGAAAGAGAGAACTCTGATTGGCTGTTCAGCTAAGAGTCAGTATATGAGAATAAAAGCAAAACAGCAAATCAAAGAAGCCAAAACGGTCAAGATAGAAGGCTGTTCTTATGTTACGTCTTCTTACCTGAGTGTTCCTTGGCGAATATTTCAGTATTAACATGAGTGAAGTGGAATAAAGAAAGCGTTTAGCAGGATTGATATTCAAAACAGTAAGCACGCGCTGCTTTGTTTACGGTATGTGCAGCCGGCAGCGTCAGTTTTCCTTTTTGAATGACGAATATAGACTATCTGCAGAAATAGACAGTTGGCTCATTAAACGCAGGCGCAGAACTCACATTCTAGCTGGCAGTCGCCTGTAGTTCTCTCGGTGTGTTCAAGTGCAGCTTTTTACCCCGACGAAAGCGGACGAGAGGCGACAGCACAGTCGGCTTTTATCAGCGCTAGTTCGTCAGCGTCGGCTTGGTGTGTTCCGGGCTTAATGCGCAAATCGGTGGGCGGGGCTACACTGGCCGTGTTGAAGTAGGTGTTGATCTTCTTCTGTGGGGGTGGTGTTTTATCCTCTTTGACGTCATAGTTCCCCACTTTGAAAAACGAGTCGTTTGCTGAGCCTGGTGTCAATAAAAGCTTTTATTGGACTAACAAGGACGTTTTCAGTTCTGAAACTTACAGGATATTCTTATAATATGATGAGCTCTTAGATGTCAGAAGCTCAAGAAAAATTTGATTTAATCACCCCTTTAATAATACGCTATTTAAATAACAAAAAAAGTTTCAGTTGATCAATGGTGCAATATATGTTTTAACCAGCAGGCGTCACCAGCATGTGGCAATTCAAGCACTTTTGAACAGTGAATCATTTTGTAAAGCAATTAGTTCAAATGATTCGAAAAACGTAGTTTCTAGGCCTATCACATACTGTAACTAGGCCTCTTCTCACCATCCCAACTGTTTCACCCTCCATTTTCCTCATGTTCAAGGACACAAAAAAAGCTATTTTCTTAGTGAACAAATAAACAATTAATAGCCAACAGCTTTTAGTTTAATTCGCAGACTGACAAAACCACACCTGACTGCTTGTACGGAGGTCACTCTTTGCAACCAGTTGATGGTTAGGAAAGAAAAGGATGAATTTCAGTAAAACGCAGCTCATGATGACACAGAAACTACAAATGAGTGCATTTGATTGGACAGAAAGATGTGTACAACCATGTATCAGTGTGTATATGTTGTACATCTAAAGTTAATTGGGTAAACTTGTAGAACAAATAGATGACCTCAGAACAAACAAATGGACTACATGCCAGAATTTTGATAACATTTTGATGACATAAACTGCAGCCACAGCTGCTTTATTAAGGATCAGCCATCTTGGAAAAATCACACGCACATATTCTCCCAGTTAAAAGTGGGACTGTGTTATACTGTATCTACCTGATCAATCTGTGCTCTGTGAGAGGAAAAAATTCCAGTGCGGGGGTTTACAAGATAAGCAGTATCACTCTCTTCTTGACCTACATATAGCCACCTCAGCCAAGCTACTGATTCCCATCTAATCAGGATGAGCTTATGGGACATCTGACTCAGCATCAGAGCCAGGGAAGAGCTTCACTTTGCTATTGACGGGTATGTGCGGGAATTACAATCATCTTGAGTTTATATCCACCCTGTTACATTCAAAATAGCGGAAGGCCAGGGTTTCAGATTCATGCAAAATCTCTAAAGCTATCAGATATCATTGCCCCACCCCCCACACAATGTTGTGCAGAGGACAATATTACAATTATTACAATGATTTTTTTCTCATGACAGAGAGGAACTATTGAGCTTGTTGAGGCCAATGTCACTTCTTAACTGGTCAGAAAAAACAGTTTAATAGTAATAAAAGGATATTTGAGTCCCCAACTTCATGTTAAAAAAGGACAAATAAAAGTCTAAATACTTTGTTTATTAAACTATTATTTTAAAGGAGTAAATGCCACAACACATGGTCCACTTTAGACATGTTACTAACTATAAGTAACATAGCAACTACATGATAACTACCAGTCAGTAGAGTATAAGTAGACTGTCTGCTCAATATCTGCTACCACTTTATTTTCATGCTCCTACAAAAGACATTCTACTGACTATATAAATCATTTTGCAAATATGTCAACTTATCCCACGAACCTGAACCCAAACACCTTAGTTAGTTGACATGTAGTTACTTACAGTATGGTTAGTAGAATGTCTAAACTGGACCGTCGAAGTAAAGAGTAACCATAATAATTTAAGCAGAATTCCATGTTTTGAATCAATCTGACCCATTCAAGTAATGGTCTTATGAATGGTGAATGGAAAATTGCTGAAATTCAATAAATAGCACCTAAAAATAACAACATAAAATTCATAAAAATTAATTCAACATAAAAGCAAATGCCAGATATTAATTTTAAAATGTACAAATGAACAAACATAACTCACTACATTGTTGTACTGTGAAGTTTGTCTTACGAATTTGTATGGGCAAGACAGCAGTGGTCACAAAGTACACCATGACACAAAAGTGTGTGTGTGGAGAATGAAACGGAATGTATTATTGCTGTTCATCACAACTTAAAAGAAAAAAAACCCATATGACATTCAGAGCCACAGCTTTTTCCGTTTTCTTTTTCCTTCTCTGCCTCCTGCACTGATTCACACTATGCATGTTAATGCCAGTGTCATCCCACTGCGACAGGAAATCGGAATCTTTTTGAATGATGCAACTGTTTGGTCACATCCTGTATCTCTCTATCTCTCTCCGCACTCACATTCAAATGTAAACTTGATTGTTTTCAAAAAAGGAAAATCTTTGCGGACAGGAAAATGACCCTGAAGAAAATCACAGATGTTCTCAAGTAAACCCGACTCCAAACACACATGCAAAAAAACAGAAATCATCTCGAGTTTGACTTCCATGGTCCCGTTGTCAGTTGGTGTGAGTGTGTGTGTGGAAGAAGGAATCCAGCTGGACTGAGACTCAAAGCCCGCAGCTGGACATGAATATAACATAGACTAGAGCTTCATTTAATACACCACTCGGTCACTCTCTTTCTGCTCCAAAGGGGAGAGACAACAGTAATATCCTCCACCAATGATGCATCACCTTAGACTAGGGCTGTCAAACGATTAATCGCGATCAATCGCATCCAAAATAAAAGTTTGTGTGTTCATAATATATGCGGGTGCACTGTGTATAATTATTTTGTATATATAAATACACACACTTACTATATATATATATTAAGAAATGTTTTCATTTGTATACTGTATATAGATTTATATATAATTTATATTATATAAATATTAATATTTTATATATAAATAATATTTTTTCTTAAATATACATGTGTATTTATATATATACAAAATAATTATACACAGTGCACCCACATATATTATGTAAACACAAACTTTTATTTTGGATGTGATTAATTGTGATTAATCGTTTGACAGCCCTACTTTAAACACATGTATGCATGTCAAAAGAATGTGCTGAGGTTAAAGAGTCGAAAACGAAATAGCCTGATGAGTGCAGGTTGAATATGTAAAAAGATGAATCACAAAAAAATACTCTTAAAGTAGACAATTTATATTTCATTTACATGACATCTGGTGCATTTAATCTGTTGTAGAAAACAATCTTTCTTCGTATAATTTCACATTTTAAAATAACATATAAAGTTATAGTTTTCTCATTATTTATAAGCTAATGTTAACTTAACAAGTATAAAATACTATTTGTGGCAGATGTAAAAAAGGACAAAAGAAAGTCTAACAAGAAATTTTCAGCACTTTTATTTTCAAAATGTTTCTATTTACACAAAATGTTCTCATGTTTTTAATTCAGTTGAGGAAAGGTACAGAATTCAAGCTCAAAGTTGGCAGAGACATTCAAAATTTCCTACACAAGGATAGAAAGAGTACAAATTGCGTATTTATTTACAGTATATTCGATTTCAAGTTAAAACGTTTAGAAATGTTCCTCGTTGTCCATCCGACATCATCTTTTTCATTCAAGAGATTTCAAATGGAAACAAAAACAAAAAAATATACACACATTCTCTTCATAATAATTTAGCAATTGATATTGACAACGATAAGCGACGAGGTGTTTTATATATTGCTAGGCATTAAAACAGTGTGAATGGAAAGGCCAATTAGAGAGCTGCTCCCATGCAACTCCTTTAAATCTAAAACCACTAACCACATGACCTTTTAAACTTCTGTCAATGGTTTAAGAACAGCTATAAAAGTGTCTAATTGGCTTCATTTACATTCTTCTGCTAAATTTGGGGAAACCATCAGTGGGGTTTTGATGTAAGACTTAAACGAGAGCACTCAAACGAAAAACTCCTAAACTAAGGTCATTCCCCCTGTTTTTTCAGAGATCATGTGACCAATCTCAGACAGACTAGACAGTTAAGGGACACTTGAAGGGACAGTACACCATTTGTCTGACATGTATAAGTGAGCAAAGCCACAACATCAGACTCAATACAGGAAACATTCAAATAGTGTTTTATAATGGCTTATAAAGAAAGGACGGACGGACTGATTACGTTTGCAGATTTCACTCGTAAATATCCTCAAACTGCATTTTGGCTTCTGTAATCAATAGAAACAATAGATTGAATTTGCACTTCATTTAACTTTATGAATACAGACTTAGTCATGTCTTTCCTTTTTAAGAAACAGGGGTTCTGTAGCTAACTGCAGTCCTCTGAAAATTTCACGCCATCAGTAGATGGTTCCTCAAAAACATACTTCTAACAGATATCTTGTTGCTTTACTTTTAAAAAGGCACTCTAGTGACCTTCAAAATAAAACATGAATGGGTTAAATGTAATATAAGATACAGTTTTGAGTTAAGAGGTAGCTGTGGGACATATGACAAGGCTGTGACAGACGAAGAGGTGACACTTTCTGGGATATAATAGGCTGGGTTTTTGTTTTGGTTTGTTTGTTTTTCCAGACACTGAACAATTGAGAAATGTCCGATTTATAAAGAGAGCAGAATCGACAATTCTTATGGCTCGAGAAATGCATTCAAAAAATGTTTCCTCTAATGTTCTGTCATCATAGCTAAGAAAAGCACCAGCAAAAATTACTAAACTTCAGTTTCTGCAGCACCACTCCAACTGGAGATTTGAAAAAACCAAAAGAAAAAACCTTGACTTGGATGCAGGAGCTGCTACAGGGAGGCACACACTCGTATTTCAGTAACTGCATAGCTTCATGGACAAATGATCAGATTATGGATTATATTTTGGGATTATCTGATAAAATCTCTAAATCTCTCTATGGCCAATTAATTAGCATTCAATGTTTCAGTCTTAAACATGTCTGTTTATAAATGTGAAATCTGCATAATTCGTATTTTGTGAGGCTTTCAAATGTGTTCTGTTAAATAGGATTATGGGTTTTGGTCAGGGTAGACGACATTCGATTTGGCATGATTGAGGCTGTAGGGATTGATGTACACTCTGGCTCTATCCCAAGTGAAACAATGGGCAATTTGGGCAAAAGTGCTGCTGTCCTGTAGCTCTAACCCTAATCAAACACACCTGAACAAGCCAATTAATCTTCAGGATTACTTGGGCTAAAGGCAGGTGAGTTTTTTGGAGCAGGTGAGGGCTGGAGCTAAACTCTGCATGACAGGAGTACTCCAGGACCGGCGTTGCCCATCCCTGGTGTATAGAATATCCCATTTGTCATTTTAGGTTTCGGCAGGGTGCTCACAAGCTCCCCCTTTAAGCCATTTTGCACCTTTTTGCTGAGCCAGCATTGATGCAGACTACTACCCAACAGTCTAGTCAGCATTAGTTCAAAAACCACTTGAATCAGAAGACCGCAAGGACTTAGAATGATTCTTAAAACCAAGTACTTAAGATTAACATCTCAATAGTAAAATCTATTTAACTGACTATACTTATATCCCTCATAGTCTTGTTTTCATTCACATCAAATTAAAACTGACGTCTACCCTAACTAAGGTCCATTAGGTTTATTTCAGCATGATGATGGAGGATGGCGAGGTAGACAGTGAAAATAAAGAAGAGGATAGCAGAAGATACACCCAGCAACAGTCTTCCGTTGTAGCAGGGGGCGATAATAAAAAGTATAATAAAAATGTCCATTACACTTTAAAATTCATGAGGACATCCTAGCCAAGGAATGGAGATTTACATGTTAGTACTCTAATGCTCAAACACTTATACAGTACAAAGTACCAAAGAAAACAAAACAACTGTTATCCTCCTACTCTACCTCTACCAACGTGCTCTTTGTAGACATTTTCAGACAGCACAATAAGAATATCAAGTTTTAAATGGAACAGATTTATAATGCAATTTGATGAATCATATCATCCAGTCCTTTTTTAGATAAATCCAGGGGTATATTCGTATAGTTTCATATTTTGGCTGGTTTGAAAATGGAACATGGTCCCAAGTAGTTGGAGAGTTTATAAAGTGGTTGAAACAAGCTTTGCTGTTTGATGATTGTCTGTGGAGAACATGAACATAAAACCAAATTGAGACCATGTTGGTTTAAGGTGGCAACACTTTCCAGGAAGAAACTTTCTTCTTAACCATCAAAGACAAAAGTGGTCCATTGTAGACTTTTTTAAAAAAAAGGTAAGTTGTACATGAACTCGTAGAATCCATGAATTGCTGGTTATGGGACAAATTTACAGCTACTCCAAGCAATACTATTTGTGGGAAAGCGTAAGGGCCACTGGGCAGTTGTGATGATAAGTTTTACTCTTACTGAAGGCCATGTTGAGGTTCTTAGTTTGTGTAGTTCAGCTGCATGCTTTATGTTTCCTTGATATCTACATGAAATTCATTAAAACCTGGTGTCAACTTGGGTTCGGATTACTCAAGTTCTCCCATGGGTATCGAAATGGCTGGCTAAGTTGTCCTTTTGGCTGGATAAGGAAACAGAGGAATGGCTGAGTTTAAGGAGAGGTCTGACTAAATGATTGTGGAATTCAAAGTCAGGACTGGCTGGTTTACACTGGAATGACGGACTAACAATGTGAAATCTTGACAGTGGAATGGTGGACCTAAAAGGGAGGTCAACTTTCTCCCCATCCTTGGCATTAAAGTGTGCTGGTTACACTGAGGTCTGGTTTGGAAACTCTCCAGATGCAGGAATTTTCCAAGGTCCCTTTGTTGTAACCCTGAAGTTTTTTTTTGTTTGTTTAAGATAGAAGTATGTGTGTTTGTTTTCTAGGTGTGTCTGTGTATTTGGCGTATGTGGCAGTGGGTTTTTGTGGCAGTTTGTGTGGTGTGAGTGTTGATGGTTGTTTATTTTGTATAGTTTTTGGGAAGCGTCAGAAGAGGCCACCCTCATCCTCACTCATTACTGGTATCGAATCGTTCTTCAGTTCCCATGGATGACTCTTGCACTCGGTGCTTGCACTGACCATGGGTATGTCGTGCCGTGGAGCGGGAGTTGCGGGCAAAACAGGAAGTGACGGTTTGTGAGTTGCAGTCACAAACTGAATCCTGCAATAACAAAAGGACTCAAAAGTTAAGATATTTACTTGATTCAGGGTTTATGCTTTGAAGGAAGAGGGAATTTGTCTAACACAATTAGTTGTTCGTGATTAAACTCACCTCCAAGGTACTAGAGCTTGTGCTCATTGCATCCTTTCCGGTGGCTACCAAATCGTCTTTTTGTGTTTTCATAAACCTCTTGTTGACGATCTTTGTGATATTGTCTGTGCCAGTCAAGGCTCCAGGTAGGTATTCAGGCTTCGGTTCGTCCACTGTGCCCGCTGGCGCAGTCCTGCCGCAAACGTTGGAAAGAAACTCCTGGACCATACCATACTTCTGAGATCCCGCTTCTCCAGACCGATACCTATGCTAGGACAGGAGGGTTTCCCAGCGGCTTGTCTCCCTGGGCACTGATCTACTTTCCACAATGATTCAACACTTCCGGAGTGTTCCACCACGCTGAACAGACTGGTCAAGCCATCATTTAGGCCGCTAAGCACTGGGCTGTCACGTGTGGTGGTGGAACGTGCCCAGGCAGAACCGATCTGAGATCCACTACGGTTATGCAGATTCCAGACACTGCGATCCCTTGAGGATGTTGAGGAGGTCTCGAGTTTGGAGGAGGAGGTGGAAACTCTTCGGGTGAGCTTAGGCGAGCCATATTTTGGTGAGCAACAGGGTCTATCTATGCGACTGTGCACTTTATCCAGAGATGAAGAGATCTGTCGGGAGCGTGCAGACGCAAGTGAGGTGGATGGACGAGGAGACCATGTTTTCCCTTGAAGGCCTCTAGTAGTTGAAATGGCATCAGTTTGTAGGCCAATGCTGACAAACTGTGCTGTCTGCGTTCCTGTACTAGAAACGCCAACTGTCTGGCTCCCAGAATCTTTGCTGCACTTCCTCTCCAGGGAACTGGAACGAATGGCCTGTCGTACACAGTTGGTCATCTCCTTCATGTCATCGCTGAGGTTGCCTGAAATCTCCAGTCCATGGAAAGGTGCAGTACCTCCTGTCCGTCCTTCAAGCAAGTCTCTATGCTGCTGTGAAAGTGAGCTCAACCACTGCTCATAAAGCGGATGAGGAAGTGGTGGATAAGGGTACGGACACAGCAGTCTGACCTGATTGATCTATCATGGCTGCATCTCTTGATGATAATCCTTGCTGGGGATCCTGGTGGGCCTTTCTTTGACTGGTCTTCTCTCCATTCTCCGCACTGTTGGAGGGCTGTAATAGATGCGAATGCCCGTCTTATCCGGAGCAGTGTAGCTTCTCTGGATGTACTCTTTGCTCAGCTCCAGTCCTGGGAAGCTGCTGTTCGAATTGGTGCTTGGGCAGTCCCATGTCTTAAACTGGTCATGCTTTTCCAATATTGCTGAATCGCTGGTCAGGTACTTCCAATTCTTTTTGTTGAGATCACTTAAGTCAGTGCAAGCCAGAATGGAGGTCGGAGCGGTAGATTGGTGCTGTGCAACTTTGCACACTTTACTCCACTGACCATGTGACCATGTGTGTCCAGCAGACTCTTAAATTCAGAGAGGGCAGACACCGATGTGGTCCTGTGACGAGAGAATGGAGATTATCATAAAACAATCACGTCTGATTAAAACGGGGATGCAATTTAGACCTTATGGAAGTCATTTTACCTTTGCAGTGCTGAACTGCTCGTGGCTACATCTGTTAAGGTTTCCTTCTCAGACATTTTATCATGAAGAGACTGAAAAAGAAATTATCTTTTTTAGTTAAGCTTTACAGCATGCCATGGTCATCCCCCCGCCACAGTACTCCCATTCATTCATGTGGTATTACTGAGTCAGACGATATTCTCTTTAGGAAATGAGGTCATTCAAAACAGCTTGTTTCCTCTGTGGGGGTAATGATAGTGGTGTGTTCATCAAGTCTATTTAAATGACCCAATTTTTCCCAATGAGGCATGTTATTAGACTTTTCTTAGATCTCAAGATCTCATATGAAACAAAGAAATTAGACCACAAAGAGGCAGAGAGTGAAAGAGTCTCATCTCTTTTTCCAGTCTTACTTACAGTCTGGTTAGTACAGACACACTGACCACACTGTTTCAGGCTTATTTCCAATTGGACAGCACAAGCTGTGCACAGCCATTCTCTCTGTACTCTTGTTTGCTCTATGTAATGGAAACGGCTTCTGTCACCAAATCAAATTGCTTGTGTTTGCAAACATATATGACAATAAAGCTCTTTCTGGCTCCGATTATGATATGCAAAACCAGCAATTCCAGCTGCAAGTGATGCAACACACTGGGAGTGTGCATGCCGGCGCTCTGTGGAAATGTTTAGAGATATTGTCATATCCTCCCATTATGTGAGGGGAGCCCTGAGTCAGTGAAGGAAGTGTGGGGATGAACAATGTGCAAAATATGTCATAATGACATTCTCACAGAC